TTAAATTAAAAAAAAATTAAGTTAAAAAATTAATTTTTTAATGTCAAAAATCGATTGGGGATTAAAAATCGATTGAAACGAGTCAAAACTCGACCCATTTATTCGATATAGTTTAAAAGATAACTCAGTTTTTGTGTTTTTGATTAAATCCAAGATGGCCGAAAAAAACAAAATGGATGCTTAAAAAACGATGTTGTCGTAAATATAGGGTGTGATACATCAAATTAGGGTAAAATTGTCCGATTTAAATGAAAATGTTGTTATAAACTATTTATTTTTAATTAAAAAAAAAATGGAGTTGAAAAATAAATTTTTTAATGTCAAAAATCGATTGGGGATTAAAAATCGATTGAAACGAGTCCAAACTCGACCACTTTATTTGATATAGTTTAAGAGATAACTCGATTTTTCTGTTTTTGATTAAATCCAAGATGGCCGAAAACAAAATTGATGCTTAAAAAACGATTTTGCAATAAATATGGAGTGTAATACATCAAATTAGGATAAAATTGTCTGATTTGAATGAAAATGTTGTTATAAATGATTTATTTTTAATTAAAAAAAAATTAAGTTGAAAAATTAAATTTTTAATGACAAAAATCGATTGGGGATTAAGAATCGATTAAAACGAGTCCAAACTCGATTAATTTATTCGATATAGTTTAAGAGATAACTTGATTTTTGTGTTTTTGATTATATCCAAGATGGCCGAAAAAAACAAAATGGATGCTAAAAAACGATTTTATACTAAATAGGGACTGTGATACATCAAATTAAGGTGAAATTGTCTGATTTGAATGAAAATGTTGTTATAAATGATTTATTTTTAATTAAAAAAAAATTAAGTTGAAAAATTAATTTTATAATGGCAAAAATCGATTATTTTTAATAAAAGGGGCTGTTTGGGACTAAAAATCATTTGAAACGAGTACAAACTTGACCGATCTATTCGTTATAGTTTAAGAGATAACTCGATTTTTGTGTTTTTGATTAAATCCAAGATGGCCGAAAACAAAATGGATGCTTAAAAAACGATTTTGTAATAAATATGGAGTGTGATACATCAAATTAGGATAAAATTGTCTGATTTGAATGAAAATGTTGTTATAAATGATTTATTTTTAATTAAAAAAAAATTGAGGTTGAAGAATTAAATTTTTAATGTCAAANGGATGCTTAAAAAACGATTTTGTAATAATTATGGAGTGTGATACATCAAATTAGGATAAAATTGTCTGATTTGAATGAAAATGTTGTTATAAATGATTTATTTTTAATTAAAAAAAAATTGAGGTTGAAAAATTAAATTTTTAATGTGAAAAATCGATTGGGAATTAAAAATCGTTTGAAACGAGTACAAACACGACCGATTTATTCGTTATAATTTAAGAGATAACTTGATTTTTGTGTTTTTGATTAAATCCAAGATGGCCGAAAAAACAAAATGGATGCTTAAAAAACGATTTTGTCGTAAATATAGGGTGTGATACATCAAATTAGGGTAAAATTGTCTGATTTGAATGAAAATGTTGTTATAAATGATTTATTTTTAATTAAAAAAAAATTAAGGTTGAAGAATTAAATTTTTAATGTCAAAAATCGATTGGGGATTAAAAATCGTTTGAATCGAGTACAAACACGACCGATTTATTCGTTATAATTTAAGAGATAACTCGATTTTTGTGTTTTTGATTAAATCCAAGATGGCCGAAAAAAACAAAATGGATGCTTAAAAAACGATTTTGTCGTAAATATAGGGTGTGATACATCAAATTAGGGTAAAATTGTCCGATTTAAATGAAAATGTTGTTATAAACTATTTATTTTTAATTTAAAAAAAATTATGATGAAAAATTAATTTTATAATTGCAAAAATTGATTATTTTTAATAAAAGGGGCTGATTGGGACTAAAAATCATTTGAAACGAGTCCAAACTCGACCACTTTGTTCGATATAGTTTAAGAGATAACTCGATTTTTGTGTTTTTGATTAAATTCAAGATGGCCGAAAACAAAATGGATGCTTAAAAAACGATTTTGTAATAATTATGGAGTGTGATACATCAAATTAGGATAAAATTGTCTGATTTGAATGAAAATGTTGTTATAAATGATTTATTTTTAATTAAAAAAAAATTGAGGTTGAAAAATTAAATTTTTAATGTGAAAAATCGATTGGGAATTAAAAATCGTTTGAAACGAGTACAAACACGACCGATTTATTCGTTATAATTTAAGAGATAACTTGATTTTTGTGTTTTTGATTAAATCCAAGATGGCTGAAAAAACAAAATGGATGCTTAAAAAACGATTTTGTCGTAAATATAGGGTGTGATACATCAAATTAGGGTAAAATTGTCTGATTTGAATGAAAATGTTATTATAAATGATTTATTTTTAATTAAAAAAAAATTAAGTTAAAAAATTAATTTTTTAATGTCAAAAATCGATTAGGGATTAAAAATCGTTTGAAATGAGTACAAACACGACCGATTTATTCATTATGGTTTAAGAGATAAATCGATTTTTAATAAATCCAAGATGGCCGAAAACAAAATGGATGATTAAAAATTAATTTTATGATAAATATGGGGTGTGATACATCAAATCAAGGTGAAATTGTCCGATTTGAACGAAAATCGCGTTTATTCGTTAATAAAAGAAACTTTTTAGAAAGTCGAGCTCCGAATCTCAACCAATTAGAATACAATAATCTTTGTCTATTCCAAAACAATGCGAATCGAGTTTAAATAACGAATCGAGGAATTAATTAACGCGTTTAAGCGAGCCGCAAGTCTTGAGAGTTTTTTGCGGTTTATATATAAAATTTCAGGCGCCACAAAAGTCGACTCTTTCAAGGTTGCACAACGAAACACACTTCCTGGATACTACATACATTTTTGAATTTTGAAATTTTAAATTTCTCAAAAAAAAAAAAGAGAATCCCATTTTTTTTTGTATTCAAGTGGCTATTTGTGTAACAAATCCTTTTTATCATCGTCATCGTTGTCGTATCGATAAACGGTTTGAGATAAATAAATAATAAATCGGCATTACATGGTCCGCATCACGTTTTCCACCTAACGCTATTTTGCATGCCACCTGATTGCGATTGTAACTCGCGATTTCTAGCCTAAGGCGGACGAGTATGTGTGTTTGTGTGCGTGCTATTTAAACTCAAAGAGAACCGCGTGGGACGATCGTTACAAAACAGAAATTCCACCATGGTTGTGTTGCATAAAAAATTCAATGATATATACTATACATATATAGAGTAGTTTAATTTTTTGTATCCCAATTATATAAAAAACAATTTATGACCCAATTTAACTATTTAAATCGATTGATTAAAAAAAAAATACAATAAAGGCACGTGTGAATGTGGGTAGATGAAAAACAGGTGTTCTAACAATGCGTGAACTTCTCATATTAAGTGCAACAAAAAAAAATGATATCTTGGGTCTCTATTTACTCACGCGTTCCAATTCAGAAATCACCTTTTCATTTCAACACAAAAGAAAGAAATTAAATCAAAAAAAGAACCAAATTTTATTAAACTCACCATCTCATCCAAACTCTTTAAATCGTTGGTGACGATTTGAGGGGTTGGCCCATAACTCAACATGATCTGTTCGTCTTCGATTTCGCTGTCGGAATCGTCGTCTTGGAGTTCGCTTTCGTTTCCGTTTCCTTGGGCTCGTTGGTCCGCGAGAATTTCGCGATCGATTTGACGCTCCATTTGGACCAACATCGGGGCTAACATCCCGAATCGTGCGCCCCTTCTCGCCACTTCCAAAAGGCACAAAATAACGTGTTTCTCGTTTTTCCTCAGAATCAAATCGTCCGATTCGAAAAGAAGACACTCGAGGATCTGCAACGATTGGCGACACCACTGGATGAAATTGCTTACGTTATCGCTGTATAAAAAGATATTTTTTTTAAATAAAAAAAAGAAATTGATTTATTGATTTTAATATTTACCGGGCGAAAAACGTTTGGGGCTTAGCGGTTGCGAAAAATTTCACGTCGGCGATATCGACGAGCTTTTGAGCTTGAAATAACGATCCGGTTACGGAGCGGGTCATCATTTTCCTCGCTTGCTTCTTTTGGACGTATTCCGCAGCTTGTACTTTAACCGCGTTCGCATGCTGTAACAAAAAAATCCAATTTAATCATCATTTTAGAATTCTCCACGAAAAATCCTTTAAAATGAGACCAAACATGACATATCTATCTTTAAATTTGATTTGGTACCGTACCAAATTCGACAAAAAAATTTTTATTGTCATTTTCAAATTCTACACGAAAAATGCTTTAAAATGAGACCAAACACGACGTATGTACCATTAAATTTAATTTGGTACCCATTTAGACGCCATTTTTGGTACCGTTTAGGAACCATTAAAAAAAATTTACATTTCTAAGCTGGATGATGATTAAAATGATGTATTAAAACGAAGTATCTTTCGGGAATACCTCTAATTTCCAATTAATATTTTTTAATGATGCTTTTTGGTACAAAAAGAATTGGTACCGTACCAAAAAATCGGCGATACATTAAAATCTACGTTATTATACAACAAATTGAGATACAAAAGATTGCTTGATACAAATTTTTTGAAAAAATTAATTGTATTATTACTTTATGGGTTGGTACCATACCAAAAATTGGGTACCAAATCGATTATGAACATAAATTAGGGTTGTGACACATCATTTCTAGGTGTTTTTGGTAACATTTTTCGTTTTTAATAAAGATTTGAAAAAATTTTTATTTTATTTTACTAAATGAGGTTGGTACCATATCAATAAGTGGTACCAAATCAATAATAAAGTTTAGTTATGGTTATAATCGATCAAATCGATGAATTTTTGACAAATATTTATCAAAAAAATTAGTTTATGGTACCAATAAGTGATGGTACCATGTCAAAAATAGGTACCAAATCGATTATGAACCTAAATTATGGTTATGACATATCATTTTAAGGTGTTTTTGGTAACATTTTTCGTTTTTAATAAAGATTTGAAAAAGAAGTTATTTTTTGGTACCAAAATAGATAGGTACCATATCAATAAGTGGTACCAAATCATCGATAAACTTGAAATAACGTTATGATCCATCAAATCAATGAATATTTGAATAATCTTTCTATTTCTGATAAATTTGTAGTAAAGAAATGCTTTAAAATGAGACCAAACATGACATATTTATCTTTAAATTTAGGTACCATACCAAATCTTTTAACAAAAATTTTTTTTTTAACAATTTTATTGTCATTTTCAAGTTCTACACGAAAAATGCTTTAAAATGAGCCCAAACACGACGTATCTAACATTAAATTTAATTTGGTACCCATTGAGACGTAATTTTTGGTACCGTTTAGGAACCATTTAAAAAATTGACATTTCAAAGCTGGATGAAGACCTTGATGTATTAAAACAAAGTATATTTCGGGAGTACCTTTAATTTCCGATTAATATTTTTTAATGATACTTTTTGGTACCAAAAAAATTGGTACCGTACCAAAAAATCGGCGATAATTTAAAATTTACGTTATTATACAAGAAATTGAGATAGAAGCAATGCCTTGGTCAAATTTTTTTGGAAAAATTAATTTTTTTATTAC